TAGTAAGGCTTAAGGTTCAGGCTTCTGGCTTGGTTGAAATATGGGAGTTTCCGACAATATGGGAACCAAATATAGTTCCTTAAGTTGTAGGTTCCTATTACAAGGACCCCAAATTGAGGGACCCCTTATTCGGAAACTCCCATATGGGTTTCGTTGTTGAGGTTCAGTGGTTCAGCGGAAGGTGATCCAAGCACTCTATATGTGCCAGCATCCGCGCACCCCCCCCCCCCTCCCCCCCCCATGGTAATCCCCCTCCCCCCCCCTGTGGTTCCTGTGGTTCCCCCCCCCCCTGTGGTTCCTCTTGGTTTTCCCCCTCCCTTTTGTGGTTCTTCTGGTTCCTGTCTCCCCCCTCCCCCCCTGTGGTTCCTGTGGTTCCTCCGCGTGGTTGCTGCTGCTTTGTTGTTGCTGCTGTTCTTCTTCTTGTTCTTGTTCTTGTTCTTGTTGTGTGGTCGCCCGGGTCGGGGGGGGGGGGTGACCATTGGGGGGGGGGGGGGGGGGGGGGGGGGGGGGGGGGGGGGGGGGCGTGTACCCCGCTTTACAACCAGAATCCCCACTTTACAACCAGAACCCCCACTTTACAACCCATGAGCCTTTCCGGAATCCCCACTTTGCAACCGGTTGGGAAAGCTTCTTAACAACCCTATTAACTGATAACGTCAAAGCCTAGAATCTCTAGCATCATCCCCTACGGCAGCCATGCAGGTTGGAAAGTGATGTTGGTTGCAATGTGGGCGTTCTTAACCCGAAACCACGATAGATATGTGTGTGTACATATATATATATATATATATATTTAGATGCGTGAGGGTTTGGTATCGATGATACTGTTTAGATGCTCACCTCAGCGAGCGTGTTGTTGCATAGTGGTTTGCGCTTTACGCACTTGTTCCCATACGGGTTCTGCAGCATTTGCGGGCCGGGTATAGTGTGCAAGGATAGCGTGGTTAGGGTTCTAGACCTAGTGGCTTTACGAGGGTTTAGGGCTTAGGGTTTAAGGCGTAGGGTTCGGGTGCATATTCTAAACCTAGTGGCTTTACAAGGGTTTAGGGCTTAGGGTTTGAGGCGTAGGGTTCGGGTGCATATTCTAAACCTGGTGGCTTTACGAGGGATTTCGGCGCTCACACTCGGACAATCCAGGCGAGGCAAATAGGTCGGAGTCTGACAATGTGAAACTGAAAGTTGGGTCAGTCATAGTACGAATCAGTCGGACCTATCGAAACATATAAAGTGACTGTGCCTGCGGTGACTGCACCCCTCCCAAGGTCCTACAAAATGAAGCAGACATGTAACCGGTAAGACCTTGGGAACAATGTAGCTACACAGATCACTTCTTCGGATACGGGGAGAAAATATAGCGAGCTTATTAGTTATAACAATAAAGATTCCAGTGGATCGGGATGATCCAAGTGTCACGTGATCTGCACATGGTCATCATTGCGATGTCACTACATAATCCCAGCCCTATTGGCTAGAGAATCAGTTCTGTAGGGTGATACACTGGGCGGACGTATGGACTGGGAGTTGTCATGCATCGTTAGCATGCTTGCACACTTGCACATGCAGACTTGCAGGTCTGTTTTTGCAGGTCTTTTGGGTTGCAACAACAGCACGTTATATAACAGAGTTAACAATAACCTCATAAACTAAAAACTAAAAGGATCCAGAGCGTCCCAGCCTGCTTGGACCTATGCATCTAATTAGCTTTCCTGCTATGTACAAGTCACAGACCCAATTGAATACCCTGCGACAAAGTGTACTCAATTTGGTCAGCACAAAATCCCCAGGTAGCGGCGTAGTTCAAGCGTCACGGTTCAAGACTACACGGCATGAACAGGGCCAGTAGAGCCGCCCATCGGCGCTAATACTCCCCGTTGTCATGCAGTCGTGTTCTTGCAAGCTGTATCACCATCAGGCATCGAAGGATCAACAACCAAATAGCCAGGGAGGCTCTTCACTCAACTCGGCGATATAGGCGGGTGAATTCTCTCCAGCTCGTGAATTCCGACTCTAGTTCGGGCGGTGCTGCTAGACGGCTGTACCCCGCATGCAATGCCGTGTGCACAGTCCCTAGCATTGTGCAAGGTAGGGCTGAGCTGCGTGCTAAAGTCTCATAGTGTCTGGCAGTGTTGTGCAGTGAATTCAAAGTAGACGCCAGAATCTCGTTGTGCTTGATCGTCGTGTCTGACATTGGCTTGCAGTGAATTTAGAGTAGCTGCCCGAAACTCGTTTTGCTGAATGGCGGGCATGCAGCAAATTCACAGAATTCATTTCCACGGCATAGTGCGCGTCTCCGCAGTCGGTCAGCAGCATCTCATATTATCCCACCCGAGCAAGCTTTGCAAAGGCAGTACAAAGTAGCCCATCATACTACATTGAAAGCCAGAGTTGGCGCCAGCATAATGTGAAGAGCGCTGGTTGACTGTGGCCATGGCTGTGGCGCTTGCGGGGGTTCGTGGTTTCTTAGGGTCTATCTTCCCACAGTCGCCCAGAGCCTTCTGACTGACGAGTCGATCGAGGTCGGTTCCCTGGCACAGCTCAGAGTTGAAGCTGTCCGGGGAAGTCTGGACTGCCACTGCGACGTGCTCTGCGGCGCTGTCAAGTGCAGTGGCCATCAAGAAGGCAGGGCCTGCGAGCCTATGGAATTTGAGTGCGCCGAGGACGGCCTGGCTCACCTTCCCAAAATTGACGAAAGTCGCGCTCCCCGGATCTGCCGGAGGGTATCGGAAGGGGGAGGCCGATGTGAGAAGGTAAGAGCGTATGTCCGGCACCACTGATGCCACTATGTACACCACCGGGAGGGCACGAAATGCATGAAGCATGTCGTGGCCTCCTCTGGCCTGGTACTTCACGTCAGATGAGGCATGAGCTGCAGCATGAGCCGCCAGCAACTCGTTGTACACGTTGCTTTTGCTGGGGTTGCTAAACCAACTATGCCCTTTATTCTTTATGCGGTGCATCGATATGGCTTCCAACCAGATGCTTCCCTCGGCCAGGCCATGGTTGTAGGCAGTGATGTTCTCTTCTTCAAGCCAGCTGGCAACCACTGCTTGTGAGAAGGTGGTGTCATCCTGGATGACAACCACTTCGTCTGCCCAATAGGGTTGAGAGAAACTCTGCCCTGCGGCTTCAAACTCCTCCCATCTTGGAAAGAACTTTCGATGCGCAACAGGCACGAGTCCTACCAGAATGTCGAACTCTTCCCGGGTCAGCATCAGGAAGTCTGGCACACCTGCATTCACTGGGTCCTCAAAGGCCTCCGCCAGGGTGGGTATTCCACCATTCTGGAGGAGGGCGCCCAGAGTCACAGCCCCCACCTTATGAAGCATCAGGTGAATGGCATTCACCAAGGAAAAAGTCCCGGCTCTCACCCCGGCCTGGTAGGCAGCCATAGCCTCGTCGCAACCTTCCTGCACTCTTGCGCAGAAGTCTGCGGGGGCTGAATAGAGGGGATTCCCTCCATTTGCCAGGAAGTAGAGTTTGCCAGCCGGCGAAACGTAAGGCCGAGCAACTCCAGTTGGAACCGCAGTAAAGCGGCCATTCACAATGGTCTGGCGGGCACCAGTCTCAGATGTCTGAGCGATCAGGTCGGCAACGCTAGTCATCACTCCACGCGTCTAGGCCAAACGTACAACGGTGCCCTCTGCCTTCTTGACAATGGTGCACGGGTCTACAGTCTGCCTGATGCTGTGGTCTCTGCTTGTGCAATGGTCTTGAGCCAAAATGGCTACGGGGATTTAGGGCTTAGGGTTTAAGGCGTAGGGTTCGGGTGCATATTCTAAACAAGGGTTCGGGTGCATATAATCCGGAGCAGCCCTCAACTACTGCTTTGCTTCCAGCCACAGACGACAAAGATCAAAGATATCATGCGACGAAGCAATTTTAGGGATGTGCGAGATCTTAGTAGTTTGGGGCCACGGTCAGATGAAGGCCACGTAAAACAGGGTAGACGGGTTGCAAAGTGGGCGTTCTCACGATCGGCAGTTGTAAAGTGGGGATTCTCACACGGAAAACAGTGTCTGTGGTTGTAAAGTGGGGATTCTGGTTGTAAAGTAGGGATTCTGGTTGTAAAGCGGGTTAATCTCGGGGGGGGGGGGGGGGGGGGGGGTCGAGAACGCGGAGCGCGGGCACATATATAGGTTTCAACCATGATAATCCACGCCGAAGTTTTCAATGAGTTGAGTGTGAAGTGGTTTGCGGTTGCGGGTTTCCGATGAACCCTATTCTACTTATTGAGGCTCCCATTTATAGAGACCTTATGGTATCCCTTATAGATCCCTTATAAGGCGATGGCGGCACCGCAAAATGTTAATAGCCTCGCCGAGTCCTTCATCTGCCCCCGGGGTTCAGAGTTGGCTTTTACTGCCCTATCAGGGCACATAGGGTTTAGGGTTTTAGGGTTTCGGGTTTTAGGGTTTCGGGTTTAGGGTTTTAGGGTTTTAGGGTTTAGGGTTTAGGGTTTTAGGGTTTCGGGTTTAGGGTTTTTAGGATTTCGGGCAATAATCTACCATCTCCTTGGGAAGCTTCCAAACTGGACCTCAGAGTCCTTGGAATCATGTGAGCAAAGCTCGCCGGACACGAGCACACCCTCTCCCACATGGCAATGCTGCCAACCCTGAACCCTGATCCCCAAGCCCTAACTTAGGGGTACTTTGAAATATTTCTGTAATTATTGGTTATCATAATCCCTAAGAAACAGCTAAACTTATACTTTTTGCTAGGGTTCTAAGCTCAGTATAGTAAACCCTAAACCCCAGCCGAGCCTATTGACATGTGAAGGTCGCACGAGCCTCGGCGCTTACCTAGAAAGCTGTGGGGCCGTCTGGGGCGACGCCTATGAGGCACCCGCAAGATTCGGGTGATTAGCTGGCTGTGTCTAAGCCACCAAAGGAAGCTGAGGGCTCATATGTATACACGTTGCATACAACAATGCGAGCCTGACAGTAGGTGAATATGAAGAAGATAATGATATGGATGATCGGTGGCAGCACTTTTGTTCGGCGATGATTTCGGTCAGTGGCAACAACGATGATCACGACCAAGCCACTAACATCAACACCGCAGCTTTATGTTTCGGAATAGCACCAATAGAACTAGCACTGTATTTCGAGCTGTAACATATCACGTCATGTCGTTCCTCAACATATCACGCCATGGCATACCATGCCACGTCACATAATTCATGCTAAGGTGTATTGAATAATGTGGTACTATGTTGCATTATAGTTCCTTTTTACACGTCCTTTTATGCTATTGTACTGTAGTGTGTGTGTGTGTCACAATCTAGTCTGTTCCATTCTAGAGATTAGCTTTCTATTCTGTCCCATGCTGTTGTATTGTGTCATTACTACACTGTTTGATATTACTTTGATCTCATAGTGAGTCTTTCGCATTATGTGATGTTTTGCTACAACATGTAATGCTTGACCATATTGCATTGCTTACTTCTTCTTGTATTCTAACGTGTACATCCATCTCATATAGTATGAATTTACTTCATGTGGTTTGCTGTCTCTCTATATTGTTCCGATATATATTGTTCAGTGTAGTAGCAGCAGCCTTAGCTGTATCCTTATCCGTAGCCAGAGCCACAGCCGTCTCAGTAGCAATAGCATTACCAGTACCCGCAGCATTAGCAAATGAGCAATTAAGCAATAGCAGTACCGGTAGCAGTCGGACAGTGTGATGGTAGTGGGAGCGGTAGTGTTTGTAAGCAGCAGGAGTAGCATCAGTGGCGCAAAGCCCGGCGATACTAATCGCCTGTGCTAAGTACACCCACCCAGCTTAATGCTATCTGCCTATTAGTCTACAACCAGAGGTTATGCAAGGGCATCAAACTGAAAAATAACAAAGCTTGCACTGTTCTGTGTTTTCTTGGTTCCTAGCTGTTGCCACCGGCTGTTGACGATGGTGAGAAGAAGTTGCTGAAGATGCCTTGAGCGATGATTACGATGACGACGAGGATGAGTTGCTACTGTTAAGTCGGAAGTTTGCCTGCGCAAATGTCCCAGCCAGGTCGAACCAGTCCAGCTTGCAGACGAAGGCAGACGATGTTCCTGGCGTCGCGTTCTCGGATGGTGCTCTCACCTTTCAGATTTTGTCGGAACTCAGCGCAGCCTTAAACTCGTACATACACTCAGCCATGACCATCTCTAAATCCTGGATAACTGTCTCTCGGTATAAGTTCTAGTGCTGGGTAAGCCGAAATCTTCGTAGCATTCGGAAGCTTTGGGCGCTATACTGGCGACTTGAAAAGTTACGATACCGGCTCTGCAGTGGTTTATGATCATTAGCACCCGGATTCGCGGGCTGAGGGCTGTAAAGTTCATGTTTCTCAGTGGCCTTTGCTATCGACTGCTGCATTGTGCGTTGATGTTAGCATCGGCTTTGCACTTTGTTCTCAGGTGTGGCCATGCCCGCCGAGCGTGACTTGGCTGTTTTCTGTTTGTTGCTCTCGGGTTTAGGGTTTAGGATGACTTAAGAGGTAACCCTAAACCCTAAACCGTGGTATGTGAATTAAAAGCATTCAAGTCGAGGTCTTGCCAGCCTGCGGCCTGGAGATATGTTGGAGTCGCCACAGCCTCAAAGCTCGTCTGCCTGGTGCAGGGTCCTTACCCTAAACGCGAAACCCTAAACCCTAAACCTACCCTAAACGCGAAAACCTTCCTTCCTTTGGGGTACAGGGTTCGACGTCTATGCATGGGTGTTGTTTCAAGAAGCTGCCCCTAAGCCCTGAACCATGCAGGCTCAGTGCCTGCAAACGACCAGGCCCTTAAAGGAATCCCCATAGATCCCTTGAAGGCACCGTAAAGATACCTTAGGGCACCCCTATGGAGCCCTTCAACCCTCATAGATCCCACCAGAGCCCTTTAAGGCATTCCTTTAGATCCCTCAAAGGTACCCCTACACATCCCTTTAAAGACACTCCTATAGGATCCCACCTCCATAGATCCCTCTAAGGGAGGTGGGTTGGGAGTTTTTTAGGGGACCCTACTACAGTACCCCCCAAAAACTAGGATCCCGATTATAAGGGGACCCCAAAATAAGGTACCCCTGATTTTCGGAAGCTCCCAGTTAGGAATCAGAATCCCTTCTAGAAGAAACCGACCTGCAGAGGCCGACTTTTACCCTCCCTGGCGGCTGCCTGGCTCTCAGAAAAGCTTTACCCTATGCCTTCAGGGACCTGGTTATTGGGTCCTTAAGGGGTCTAGGGCCCTAACTATGAGGCCCTTGGAAGGATAGGGTTAGGGTTTAAGGCGGTCCGGGGTTGATGTTTTGGCGGTCCAAGGTTTAGGGCGGTTCATGACAGGAATAACAAGAACGGTAGGCATAATAGTCATGGATTGGGTACTGCCCCCGTAACAGTAACAGTTGCATAATATTCATACTATAGATATATTAGGACCTTAATAGTAGCCTGATTATAGACTGTTACTGTATGGGAGCAGTACCCAAGTCATGGAGATAAGCGCATCTCTGAGCCCTGGAGTCCCGGACTGCACGAGCTTAGTCTGTTGCGTTCGATTACCCAGCCCTAAAACCCCAAACCCCAAACCCTAAACCCTAAGTCCTAAATCCCTACACCCTAAGAAACCCTACAGCCTAAACCCTGTACAGCCTAAACTGCAATCCTTACACCCTCAACCCTACGCCGGAACCCTAAACCCTTGCAGGCTGAATCCCTGGCACCTCAGCCCTCATCTCCCTAATCTCCCTAAACCGTCTCTGAGCCCTTACTTAAAGGATCATGGGACTTAGTAATTGGGATATGAGTAAGGTAACTACACTTATGATTACAGTAAACCCCATAAAGTTGGAAACCCGATTAAGGCCAAATAGCGCTGGGATTCCCCATACATGACTCTTAAGGATTGAGGCTACTGGGTCTCCAACTTTTAAGCTTCTACTGTACTTATAACCCATGATCCTCCAAGTAGGCTCGGAGATTTGTTCAAAGCGCCGCTAACCCACAGCCCAGAAACCAGCCTTGTCCTTTTTCATGGTTCCCCCAAAAGAATAAACAGACCGGCTAGTAGACCTTCTTAAATAATCCCTACTAAGGGATATAGGTATAGGGCTCTGTCTATTATTCCTCAAAGGACAAGGGTGCCAGACACCGAACCCCTGAGTCCTGGAGCAATCTGAAAGCAGAAGCCTGCATTACAACGGCCGGAATACCCAGGGACTCCAATATCCCTTCATTAAGGAATATTCCTTAAACCATATTAGGGATCGAACTATAATTTAAGGTATATTCCTGAATTAAGGTATATTCCTGAATTAAGGGATATTGGTGTCTCTGGGTACTCACCAATGTTATCATTATTGCTAGGTTTCCTCACTATAGCTATGCTACCCTCAGGCCCCAAAGTAGTTCCTTATTGGGGGTTCATATTTAGACTCCTTCAAGGTAAGCCCAAAAAGCAACTACTTTGGGGCCTATGGGTATTATATCACATACCGCAACACCGTATTCTCATTATTGAGTTGTATGCCAAGGCAGAGGCCGATTCCAGCTCTTTCCCAAGGGCGAGACAGACGAGATGGTGCGATCCCTTCAGTCTTCAGCATTTGGGGCTCTGCAGAGTTTTGGGGTGTAGGGCCCCACATCTTTCGGACTTCAGGATGAACCATACGGCTATTATCGGGGTTCCTGCAAGGGATACCATTCGGTGCTGGGTCCAGGTAGGGCTCTTGACGAAACTCTGAACGTGGACTTCCCAAGATCCCGAGTGCCACATTCTCAAGCTGACTGACCTCTACCCAAAGACTCCATAGTAGTTCCTTTTGGGATTACCTTACAGGCGTCTATATATAAACCACAACAAGGAACTACTATGGAGCCTCTAGATAAACTCTACACCCTCAGCACTAGACCTGTTTGGGGGTTGGCATGTACATTGAAAGCAGAAATTCGGAAGGAGCCTGGCCACTGCTCGCTGTGGTTATGCACGGGCCTCAGCTACCGATGCTGGTTTCGGGATCAATTCGGGATTGTGGTTCGGGAGCATTGGCCTAACAGCGAGTTCCTAAGTGACAGCTGCTCTTTCGGCTTTAGGACTCTTTGAGATCAGCCCTGTGAGTCGTACGAGGAAACTTTGGTTCGAGTCGCATCTGGCTGTTTGACATCATGGAAGATGTGAGTCTTTGCAGGAACGCATGAGCCGTGCACCCTGCGATGACCAGGTGCAGATGCCCCTGTGCTAGAGAACATCCGATTACGGCCATCACCTCAGTCACGCAGAAAGAATGTATGGAGGCAAGAGAGCCTGCAAGCTTAAAGCTTGGAATAGCACTCCGCCCATGCCGATACACAGCATTCCATCACGGACAGATTCGCAGTCAGCTTCAAACATAAAAACATATCCCTAAACTGCTGAGAGTGCCGCTGACCCGCCAACAACCCCCTCAAAGCTGAATCAAGGCTCGGAAGCGTAGAGGCATCGCGCGGAAGTGCGACCTTCTGCCGGCTGGAGGACAGAGGATAAGAGCTAAAGTCTATTGTAGGTGAGGTTTCTCTGGGGATGTATGTATGGGTAAGGTTTCTGCAGAGATTTGTGCGTGAGCAAGGTTTCTAATTATAGGGCCTTATGTATGAGGACTAAATTCGAGTAACTCTTGTCTACGTTGTAACGGGGTTTTTGTGGTATTTCAGCCAAGCTTGATGCATCCGTCTGCGGCCGTTTTAGGGTGTCGTCAGGGTGTTGTCACTAGTCTCGACAAGGCTTTTGGGCTATTCCCAGAGACTTCAATATCCCTTAATTACAAAATATTCCTTAAATCATTTTAGGGATCCTCTAATTCAAGGAGTAGCCCCTATATACACCCCAATACTTGTCTCCATCCATTCCCCCATTCCCAACTAAGCACCAGGGAAACAAGGCGTAGCTTCTCTCTCCCGAAGGATGCTCTCCAGGGCGATGTCATGGATCTTTCCCTGGAGTTAGACACGGCGGAGGCCAGGTTGGACAAGTACCTATATGATATGTGTATATATATACATATATCCAGATGTATATATATATATATATATATATATATATACATACATACATATACCAATACGTATGTATAGACATTATAACTATATATATGTATATGTATATATACATATATATATATATGATCTATAGATTGGTTGAGGTTTTGGGATTACCCAGCGAACCCCAAACCTTCTTCCTTTAGCGTCATCCTACAGCGCTCCACATCATGCCACTCAAGCACTCCTTGCGCGGTTTCTCTGGGATCTAGGAAGTTTGCTTTCTTTCGAAGAAGTTTTAGTAGGGTCTAGGGTTTAGGGAGTCCTGATTTCTGAGGCCTGGATTTCGAAGCCTTTGTGAAGCCAGGGCTTCAAGCGAAAACTTGTCACAAAACTCGTTTTCGAGTCCTCTGCCTTCTCTGATTGTTTTTGTATCCTGTGTCTCTCACTTGGTCGCTCCTGTGGTACCTGCTTCTTGCATGATTGTTCCGTTCCTTTCTTTGCCCGCCTGCTCTCCGTTCACTTCCGTCTCTGTCGTTGGGGACTTCCTCCTAGCGTGTAGGTTTATCTCTTCTGTCCCGTGTGGCTGCAGACCTAGAATACTAGAATACTAGGTAGCTAAATCACCGTCTGCATAGCCTATTTGTACATACATATGCATGCAGACAAACATATGTATGCAATTATGTATGTATGAATGCATCTAAGGGTGGATGATCTTGTATGCATTTAACAGCTTTGAGCTTCTCTTTGGTCCAGGCTTTTCTCGGCCTCCTCGGGCCGCCTAGAGGGCTCGATTTATGGGTTAGGATTTATAAGGGTTTAGGGGCTTGGCCACCCAGCTCGGAGGACAGCCCTCCCGGGAGGCCTCCTTAGGTATCCTTTTCAGGTTCCGGGCCACCGGGGTCAGGGTTTAGGATTTAGGACTATGACGACCACAGGCGGCTGCGCAAGCCCCTCCGGAGGCGGCCGCTGCGTTTAGCTGACGTTCTTGTTGTGGGTTGAGGTCTCCAAAAGTGCACATCACACCTGTAATGAGGACCCCGAATTGGACCCCAATGTTGGAGAAGCCTATTGGGAGGTTGGGCTTGATATCGCATAATGACACGAAATATAGCATAATTGAAATGGTAGAACCAACGGTAGAGTATGGCACAAGTCAAAACATATAATGCGTAGATTGCAGAGAGAAGCAACACACCGAACAGGAGTAGCGCGGGTTTGGGTTTTAAGCTCAATGGTTTTGCGTTGTACGGTTTGCGGGCTTAGGGTTTAGGGATGTTCAGAGTTTAGGGGTTGGGAACGTTTAGGGCTGATGGGGTTTAGGGTTTAGGTTTTCTAGGTTTTCTAGGATGCCCAGTACCCTTATTCCCGTTTTGTAGTCCTAGGTTCCCTATAAAGTTACCCAATTAAAAAAGAGAGCCCTTTTTATTCCTAGGTTACTGAGCATCCTAGTTTTAGGATAGGGCATACCTAGATAGAGGCTCCGTTGTAGTTCCTCTTTGTGGTCCATATCTAGGATCCCGTAAGGTAATCCCAAAGAGGAACTGGTTTATGTTTAAAGAAGCTGGAAACGAAGCAGGAGTCCTGAAGCATCTGTCCCTTCGCAAAGCCGACAACAGTCGAAGGCCCTCGTGCATGCGCCGTATCGAGCTTCCGAAAGCAGAGGCTCTGTAGTCATAACTATTTTTAATTATTAGTTATTTTTTATCCTTGTGACTATTGTTATTATCTTCATTATTATTATTACTACTATTATTACGATTATTATTTGTATTATGATCAGGAGTATACGCTCGAAGCTTGTACAGAAAGCCTTTAGGTCGCTTGGACCTTCAAGGAATAAATGCAGGCGGAAGCCACTTCAAAACCTAGTGCCACATGGGAGTTTCCGAAAATTAGGGGTGCCTTCTTTTGGGGTCCTTGTAATAAGGATCCTACTATTTAGGGTACTTTAATAGGGTTCCCTGTTTTCGGAAACGCCCACATTTTTTCCATCTAGGCCCGAGTACTCGAACACTCCGAGGCTACCAAACCCGAAACCCCTATGAGCCCTGAACCGTAAGCCCCTTTCAGGGGGCACCCAACCCCCACCTCGAACTTTAAGACTAAACCCTAAACCCCCAAAGAAAGCCTGACGAAAGGTGGAGCAGAGACTGCTAATAAGCGATCTTCAGTATGCCGAGCAGCGTCCTCAGTGGGCCGTTTCGGATTTGGGTAGTTTAACGTTTAACGTTCAGGGGTCTAGGATTGCGGGTTTGGGGCTGTTTGTTGCAGTTTGGATTGTTGGGGTTTGGGCTTAGAGGGTTTCACGCCCAGAAACCCTAAACCCATTCAAGTTTAGGGTTATGTGTGCAGTTAGTATGAAGCCCTTGCAGCTCGAATCCCGTTGGACGGCCGAGCCCAGAAAGACTAGCTACCCAGAGAACCCAATACCCCTTAGTCAAGGAATATACCTTAAATTATAGGGGCCTTAACATTATGATTTAAGGTATATTCCTCAATTAAGGCGTATTGGGTTCTCTGGGTACGACCATACAGTAGGCTTTAATCACCTAGTGTGGTCCAAAGTCTGAACTCTCAGCCTCTGTTGTTGCTCAATGTTTCTTCTCCGCGGGGCCTGTCACCCCCAAAGCCCCATGTTGCACCTTTATGCCTTTTGTCCAAGGGTAAAAGGAGGGACCCTCAATAAGTACCCTTAATATAGCTATTATATACCCATCACATAGCCCATTATAGGCTAGGGGTCCCCATTAAGGGTCCCTCCTTCTCCCCTCTGATTTTGACGATGTTGAACACGAATCAGGGTGGGACAAACCCAAAACCCTACTTGGGGGGGCGGGGGACTTAGTAAGTAGGTTGTAATAATTAGGGTGATAATTGGGGTAACTCCATTTAGGGTGCTTGTAACTCTACTTATAACCTACTTACTAAGTCGCCTGCCCATCGGTTTAGGATTTAGGGTCTGGGGTTTAGGGTTTTGGGGGTTTAGGGTTTAGGGTTTATGTCCCTTCAAAGTGAGTAGTAGAAGAGGCGCTCCTAGAGCCCCGAGTACGAAACACGCCTGCACTTGATTCTCTGGTAGTGTCAAGTGCGAAAGCCCCATGCTCCCGCGATTTAAACCTTTAGTAACCCTTTGTGGACCCTGCATAATTCTGGCATCAGATACCTCAAAGTAGCCAATTATGATTATCAACGCCCCTACACTAAGCCGATCGAAGGTAGCTTGAAAGCTACTTTGCAAAGTTTGTTTTTAATAGGTAAGCCGCAAACCCAGAGCGGGAAGCAGCAGCTCGGTCAGGGTTAGAGTTCCTCAGGTGGACAAACCCCTATACCCTAAGGCCCCAAAGTAGTTCCTTTTCGGGGTTCATATATAGAATCCTATAAGGTAATCCCAAAAAGGAACGACTTTGGGGCCTATGGGTAAGCCTAAGCCACCAGGTCCAAACATCATAATCCGACAGGCTCTACGATCCCTAGAAAGGCGTGGGTCGCAGCAACAGTCGCTCCACGTGGAAATGTTGAAACATAATGCTAGGCCCCGATACACCTTAAGTGCCTCCTGCAATCCGTAAATCCTAAGCCCTGAACCCTAAACCAAACCCTTCAATCCTAAATACAACTATATAAGAGCCTCACAGCAGACACCAGCCATACACCGACCGACATGGAACAGCCAAAAGGTGGCAGCTTTTTCAAGCCGGGCGCATGGAGCTCGGCTTCCAGGGAGGGTTCAGGGTTTGGGTTTAGAAGGGGCTTTGAGAATTGGAGCATTAAGCTTTTGGGGCATTTGACAGTAGAGCTATACGAAAGAGCATAAAGGAAAAACAGTTCTGGTTATAAACGCCCAAATACTCGATTAGCCTCATCCGTAGGATGCCAAGTATCAGAGGCTGTCAGTGAACTTTCCCACGATCCGAAGTATGTATACAGGAGGACAAAGTAGTAAACCCCAAGTTTAAACCCACAGGTATGCGATATCATAAGCCTTCTGCCGAAGGAATTACACATATCGTTGGGGCCACTTAGTCTGATAATTGGTGCATATGAGCCTGATCCGTGCAGGTCTTTCCAGATATGGGAGTTTCCGAACATCGGGGACCCTACTATAATAGTACCCAAAATAGTAGGATCCTTATTGTAAGGACCCCAAATATCATTTTCGGAAACTCCCACATAGAAGCAGTGTCCACCGTCAGGACTGTGTGTTTGCTGTCTTCTGTTGGCGGGCCCATGCAACCGGGAACTCTGAAAGCCAAAACCTACACTGCCTCAGGCATGATGCTCTCATAATTCGAACAGGGAATATGATACTATACTATAAGTACGATAAGGAACCCCGAAGATAGTTTAATTCAGTAATTTAAGCATGATGCTTTCAGCCTCTGTGATTCTTGCAGTTTGTCGGCCCAGTCGTACAGAAGGTCGAGCGGGTTTAAGCTTCCGAAATGCAGACCAGTCTCTCGTCGCTTTTGTGCAATCCGGGCAGCAGCGGGCATCCGTTCCTGTGCGCCCGGCCATGCGTCTACATGATGAAGAGAGGCTCGTGCCATGTGCAGGAGTGCAAATACTGCCACATGAACCACGATCTGCCAGTGACGAAGCTCAACCAAAGGCAGCGGTACGTACTGCAGCGGCTCGCCATGAAGGACAAGATGGACTTGCTACTCGCAGCTCTGCGCGCAGGGTTGCATCGTGAGGGTCTCACCGATCAGGCCGGGAGTTTGCTCTACCTGCTGGAAGTCGAAGCTTCGGTGCATGCAGCACCGGAGGGCCCCCGAACTCATAAGAGGCAGATGCACGACTTGCGCAAGTCTCTCATGCGCATGACCCTAAACGACAACATCAAGGCCTTCGAAGATGTTCTGCCGGAGCAGGTTCTTCAGTCCTTCCAAGACTTGCGGCAAACGTTTTCAACATCATGTGATGAATCGGTTCCGATGTCTTCTAAACCCGAGCAATCCTTGAAGGACGCTCTTGCCTTGTTTCCGATCCGTACTCCAGTGATGATGTGGCACCTCTGACTGAGAGGGCCAAGATTTCTTTCCCATGCCTCACTGGTCATTCAGGCCCCTCATTAGCTTTCTTAGCTCTAGGGATGTTAGCCCTAAGCCCTGAACCCTAAACTGATAATGAGTCACTAGCTCGACGAGGGTTAGGGATGTCAAGGCAAGGATGCGGGTTGTTGCTTCTTAGGGGTACTTAGAAATTATTTTTAAGTTTTGGGTATTGTAGTCCCTAAGAAACAGCTAAAATTATAATATTTGCTAGGGTTCTAAGTTCAGTATAGGCTTGTGGTGCCTGGACGGTCTTCCTAAATTCCGACCTTCGACCATGTGATGGCTACGGCTTCTATTTTGCAGAGGGCTCCAGGTGCCTGACCTCAAAGTGACCGTCCACTGCGCGGTTTCCCGCATTTCACCCACTCAGCTGGGTTCAGGGTTTCCCGGTTTCCAGGTTCCTATGCATGAGGTCGGTGATGTAATATAGATGTAATATAGGGGCCTAAATAAGTAGCCATACTATTTTTTGGGGTAGGTTCCTTATTATAGTTACAGTGTAATATATCCCAAAACCCTATTCTTATTATTAAGACCCTTATATAATCAACCTCTGGTGAAATCTATCCCAGTTCAGAGTCGGGAGCGGGTTACACGGCTGCTACGACTGGCTAAGTCGGTGAAAATCCGATTATGTTCCGGCCCGAGCGGCTCAGCAGCGGGGTGGCGCTTGTGGCTAGCAGCTGTGCCTCTTTGGTTCCTTTCGTGAAAACTTTCCATCTTTCTTCTTTCATCTGCCCCTCCACTTCATGTCTGTAGATGTCTCCTGATGTAGTGATATACTTGCAAGGCGTCTACAGCCCGTTCTTGAGCAGTCATGAAGGAGCAAAGGCAGGTCTATCCGATGTATCAAAAATGCTGCGAGATGGCATCCGCTTTTTGTTTGCAGGGCGCGAAAGAAAATCCGGAACCAGTGTCGTTTTTCGGTGCAGGGATCCAAACACTAGAGCTCGTTGATCGGACCTTTGTATTTCAGAAATTCTGTCGGACAGCCTGGATTTAGGGGTTTAGAGTTTTAGGGGTTTAGGCTTATCGGTGGTTAGGGTTTAGGGTTTGCCGTACTGGTTCTTTTTTCAGGATGTTGCATGGGCTCGATCCTTTGTCCATGGGATGAAAGGGTGAGGCTTCTTGGGTTGGATGTTCGTTGTTTGGAATCTCAGACGTTCCGTGATTGCATCACAGCTTCACGAAGCCTGAGTCTGCAGGGCGAGCAGTACCACATACAATTTCAATCCTGCGACATTTCGCCAGTGCACCACCTTTCGGTGACACTGTAAACTGTTAACCTGCTGCCTAGACTCCGAAGTAGTGAGAACTCAAGGTTCAACGTTGGAAGGCTGCATCCTAACCTTCAAGGCTCTGGCTTGCGGGTTGCAATGGTTGTCGGAGACGCTCAATTATCTAGAAGCCTCCATGATTAAGAAAGATAATTCCGCTGTAGTCCCGAATGTAGCCACAGTCTAATATACCCCCCAAGCCCTCTCTGTAATCCCGAATACGACTGCAGCATAACATACCCTCAAACCCTCTTCTAATTAAAGAGGCCCGAATGTAATTACAGTATAATATACGCCCCCCCCCCCAAGCCCTCAAAACATGACGACAGTATCATATGGGAGTTTCCGAAAATAGAGGACCCCAATATAGTGCCCTAAATAAGAGGATCCTTATTATAAGGACACCATAATAAGGTACCCCTATTTTTGGAAACTCTCAACCCTAAACCCTGACCCCCTTTATAGAACCCTTATACTGCCCTTTAAAGGAACCCTAAAGGTACCCCCTAACTTCCGTTCCCTTTAAAACATGACGGCAGTATCATATACCCTCAGACCCTCTTGTACTTAAAATGCACCTCAGCTCGGTCTCTCCGGCCTGGGGTCCTTTGGTCTTTGTGGGGACTTCTTCTAAGAAGGATCCTCTACCCAGAGGCTCCAAAGTAGTTCCTTTTTGGGGATACCTTATAGGATTCCATTTATGAACCCTAAAAAGGAACTACTATGGAGCCTCTGGGTAGTAAGGGTCCTAGAATCCTAGAATACGGGTTCGGACTCGTTTCCACGAATCGTATAGGCCTTGAGGAGGTAAGTCGGCGTTTCCAGGGCTCAGGTTCTACCAGCGCAGGTTTGGGGTCCAGAATTTTCGGTTTAGGGCTTCAGCATTTCCGTATGAGCTTTTTGAGCTTACGGCCTAAACATGCGCGCGGGGTTAATTCATTCACCCTACATCCTGCGCGCCTGTGTAGGGCTTGGGTTCAGGTTTTAGGGAAGCCGTTCACCATGTGGAACGAGGGTGCCGAAGTACATAAACCCTCAAGTACAGCACAAGGCATCGACGAAAAAGCTCGCGTCAATGGCAGCGGCTTTGTTAGCAGACGCTCGGCAAGGGGTTTAGGATTTAGTGTTGTCTTAATTTAGGGTTGCGGATAGTTCTAGGAGCCTGATTCTTCAGTCAGTTTGCTTCTGTTGTGACAGTATCCTCACCCAGAGACTCCAATATTCCTCAATTAAGGAATAGTCCTTAAATCATACTAGGGATCCTATTTCAATTTAGGGTATGTTGCCTAATTAAGGGATATTGCAGTCTCTGTGCATTAAACACTAAAGAGTCATAACCCAGGACAGAGTCCACACCCTCAGCCTTATCCAGGACCCCCCCAAGGGCCTTTTGGTCTGCCTATCTACTTACTTGGATGGACTTGTCCACCCGCCTACCTCTCCGCCGGTCTACTTGTGTACCTATCTACCTACCTACCTATGTATCTGCCTGTCTGCCTGCTAACTCCGTATCTGTAAACACATGCAAAGTCAGATCCTTCCTGCGACGGCCCAAACCCCAAAACAACCCGAAACCCTGAACCGTAAACCCTAACCTGTAAACCCTAAACCCAAAAACCCCAAACCCTAAACCGTGTGGTCGAGACACTGCAGGCGGAAAAGGGGCTCAACAAATAAAACAAAAAAACCCTACCCCCCCCCCCCCCCCGGGCTCTAGGTCCGCCTTTCCGCTTCCACCATGTACTTCTAGGCGCATCTGCCAGGGTTTTTGGGGCTTAGAAGGAGTCCGGCAGTCAGGTGGGGTTCCTCTAAAGGGATCTCTAAGGGTTCGTTTAAGGGAGCTATAGAGGTCCCCTTTAAAGGGATCTATGTTGTGGATTGAAGGTTTCGTGTAGGCTGCAAGTCTTCGGGGGTTCAGCGCTATAGAGGTTTATGATTTAGGTGTCTTGGGTTCAGGGGTTTCAGAGTTTATAGGGGTTTACTGATTAGCCGGACTCCAGGTTCTAATCTCTAGCCTTGAAGATTAAGGGTTTAGGGTTTAGGGTAAGTTGGCTCTCCTAAGCCTAAACCCCAAAACCACCGATCGACTGGCATCATCATGACCAGTCGCAACACCAGAGTTTGCTATCGGGCACGGTGTTGGATTTTAAAGTTCGTTAGGGTTTCGGGGGTTGGTGTGACCCTAACCTAAACCCTGGGGTGTTCGGGCTGTAGGGTTCAGATCTCATAAGGGAGACTTTCTTAAACCAGCAGCTTTCGGCCTAACACAAGGCTACCATCACCGCTACAGCTGCTTATTCTGAGCTTAGTTTTGCTAATCGCGGTGTCTCTGCGACTGCCATGTACTACTGCGTTTCATTTAGTGGTCACCGCCACTGACAGATGCCAGGTGCTTAGACATGTTGTGTTGACATCATGCCATGTTCTTGTCAAGAAGTCTGCCCTGCGATCATGTTCGGTACATCGTCACATGCTGGCTTTCTTGCAAGTACGGACTGAGGGCCAGTAGCCTGTCCTATCAGTTGAACTTGTGCGTTATCGTCTTGATCATTCGTGGCCCACTTTTCGGCATGGCCGCTTCGTATTTTGAATGTGTGCTACTTCGTAAGTTTTACCCTGAACACTAAAACCCTAAACCCTACCTTTGCCGTGTGTGCCTCTAAAGGTAGGCTTGGGAGCGCCCTAGAATCATCACACTGACAAACGTCAAAACAAAAATCCAGGAAATATGCTAAGCACTATGTAAGTTTAACTCGAAACCAAGCCATCATCCGGTGGCAGGGGAGGCTTCTGATAGGATGTAGTCCTTGGCATGAGGGTTCAAACGTATGGGTTCTGAAGGTCAGTCGGGCATTTGGATGAGCTTTGCTGACAGATCGATCGCAGACCCCTGATTAGTAAAATATTCTGCTTTAAGCCGGGTTATCTTGGACATCCTAGTATTGTACGACCCCTGGATAATTGACAGCAGGAGACTACATCAACTGTGGAGCAATTCTCGCCCGTAGCTGAACGAAGACACACACACACACCAAACAGGCTTTCAGGCTGTCCGGTCTTGGATGGGTATTTACGGTGACATTTACGTAATTCAGTTCTGGTAACCCTTGTAGAACCCTGCTAGTAACCCAGGAACCCCCTGCAGTAGTTTCCGTCTGAAGCCTTGCAGACTCATCGTCCGAAAGCCGCAGCTCACAAGTCCCAGGCGACATGTACCTAGAGCTGATACCGGACGTGCCTAGGACTGCAGTCAATCAAAGGGGAAAAGGAGGGACCCTTAATGGGGACCCCTACCCTAGAATGGGCTATATAATGCGTATATAATGGCTATATTAGGGGTACATACCTAGGGATCCTTATTAAGGGTCCCTCGTTTTACCCTTGGAGTCAAGAGCCACGGTGCAGGAGGGACCACACTAAGCACTATAGTAGCCCGTTTCGATTCCCACCCTGAGATCCTCAATCAATAAGCGAGCTTCCGAAAATAGGGGACCCTAATATGGTACCCTAAATAGTAGGATCCTTATTATAAGGACCCCAGAATAAGGGACCCCTAGTTTTCGGAAAAAGCCTAAACCCTAAATCATTCATAGAACCCTTATAGATCCCTTAAAGAATCCTTTTACAGCTACCCCCTCATAAGTTGACACTTGAGACCCCGACTACGATTGTTCAGGGGCTGCTTCTTGACCATGCCACAAGGGTCCATGTACCTATTTTTTTAGGGTTTAGGGTTTAGGGTTTCGGGTTTAGGGTTTGGGGTTTAGGGTTTGGGGTTTAGGGTTTAAGGTTTAAGGGTTGGGATTTAGAGCTTAGGGTGAGGGTCCATGTACCCCAAGTGTATGTACTTTGGCCTTAAAGTACTCCCTATACGGGTACATTGGACCCAAAGTATATACTGTTTTGGTACATGGACCCTCAGGGATGGGCAAGCTTCGCGTTTAGGCGCAAGTGCGAGGAAAAAGCCCCAGGCAAGCCTGATGTGTAAGAAAAGTCCCGATTTCGGAACCGCAAGATGCTACAAAAGCAGAAAAAATTTGAACAGTTTACGCCGGCAGTAACTTTCAGCCTCCCATGTTCCTCCTTCCTTCCTTGCAGTTGGTTCGGTTTGGGAGTGGCGGGCTGAGTTTTCTTTCTGAACATAAAATCCCACGCAACTTACTACCCGACACCTGTGCCGGAAACCCCATCCGAAAGCCCGCAGAACCTGTAGAAGCCCTGTACCCCCGAATCTCAAGCTTGAAGCACTAATTACCCTAAACCCTAAACCCTAAACCCTAAACCCTTAAACCTTAACCCCTAAACCCTAAACCCTAAACCCCTAAACCTTAACCCCTAAACCTTAACCCTAAACCCTAAACCCTAAACCCTAAACCAAGCAATAACACTGGTGTCAGCTCTCCTGAGTCCGCTGAGTGGGTTCGGAATGCACGTCGTCGAGCTGCTTCGTCGTCTTCCTCCTACCGTCGTGATCGCAGTCATCGGGATCGCAGTCGCAGTCGCGACGATGTACCCCATGGTGATTGAATCGTCGTTAAGGAACCACAGTGCGAGCGGGGCATGTTCTGAGAGCCTTTCTGTAGTGCAAGCCCTTTTGAGGCAGGCCTTGGACCTGCTCTGCGTGCGGAGCGGAGAAAGCGTCATTGCACTTAAAAAAAAACCCTAAACCCCTAAACCTTAACCCCTAAACCCTAAACCCTAAACCCTAAACCCTAAGCAAGCTCGAGGTGCCGAACAAAGATTTGTGCGCGGTGATGTTCCGGTGTCGGGTCTCGGCCTTTTCATCGCGAGCTGGACATGGAGTGAAATGGGTTTTAGGAGTAAGACCCAGGTTTACGACTTGTGTCCGAACTTTTAAGTTAGGCTTGGCGCTTTAGGGCTCAGGTTATGGAAGCTTCCTAGAGTAAGAAGCCCTAAGGGGTTGGCTAGTAGGTTCATATGGGTAGTTGTCAATATTAAGGTCCCTTTCTGGGTACCCAAAATACTAGGTGCCGTACTATAATAGGGACCCAAACAGGGACCATAGTTTTGACAACCACCCATATGCCAAAGGCCACTGGCGAAGAACCCCAGATATTGAAGGCCCCTGATGGTGTGTATCTGTTTAGATACTTGGAGGGGCAGGGGACTTAGTAAGTAGGTTATAAGTAGAGTTATAAGTACCCTAAATGGAGTTACCCCAATTATAACTCTACTTATAACCTACTTACGAAGTCCCCTGCCCTTCCAAGTAGAGCCACGGAGCCCAAGGGCTGCCAGTATCCTGCCTAAGTTAGAACACCTGATCTAGGGTTTAGGGTTTAGGGTTTAGGGGTTTAGGGTTTAGGGTTTAGGGGTTTAGGGTTTAGGGTTTAGTTCTCACAAGCCCTTATACAAACCCGACACACACACACACACTAAGATGCCCAGTAGTACCCTTATTCCCGTTTTGTAGTTCTAGGTTCCTTATAAAGTTACCCAACACCAAAAAGAGAGGCCTTGTTATTCCTAGGTTACTGGGCATCCTAGCACAAGCCCCAAAACAAGAAGCGCTACACCCGATGGGCCGTAATAACCTGTAGCCCCTTGCCCTCCAGAATACAAGGTTTAAGGTTTAGGGTTTAGGGTTTAGGGTTGATGATAAAAATCCTGCATTACCCACAATAAGGAATATACCATAATTTCAATACTTTGGGGTCCTGAAGGTAACGCAGGACTTTATATCATCAACCGTAGGGTATAACCTCTCGGCCAAGTTCGCTAGTCGGTAAGTGGATCTCCAAATCTGAAGCCTTGAGTCCTGCTCGTAGTTACGTCCTAAACCCTGCAGTTTGCGTCCTAAACTTTACGAAAAACCCTTTCAAAATCATAACATGCAGCGCGCTCAGAGCTCGTACTATGCCCTTGAAAAACCTTCGACAAAGTCAATCTATATAGATTATATAGAACGTTATACAGTACAGCCCTGAGGTGCCGGGCTTGTCCATGAAGGTGTCGTTGAGCATAGGCGGGCAGTGGCGCTGGTCTATAGGGTGACCTAAGGCTAAGGGAGACGCGGGGGGTTTTGGGGCGTGGGGTGTGTATGAGTCCAGGGTTGATTAGCTTGTTAAAGTGAAACTTGTGCGGCTGCTTTTGAGTCCCTGAAGACCTGAAGAACTTGTAGTGCGCATACAGAAATCATAAGCATCAACTCATGCAGGCCTAGATTGTACCTATACAGGTACTCAGGACCCTTTGGAATCAGCTTTGCTTGAATTTCGGATTGCCATGCGGCTAATGCGGTTGTTTCGGGGCCTGGAATTATGTTTGAGGGGGGGGGGGGGTGTAATTAGGGTTCCGCAGGTTTCAAGCAACAGCGGGGCCTACGAAAACATTACTTACAGGCCTACCATATGATGTATCAGGCTATGCATTACATTACCACACGAGGACCACATGGAGTGTATGAGAATGCCTGCAAAGGGCATGTTGTAATGATTCCAGGTGGATGCAGGGTTCAGGTCAAAGCTGTCGGACGCTCTTGTGCCGCTCTTCTGTGAATGCCTTCATAACCTGATGGGGGTTGTCGGGGAGACTATTACTATATGTAACAGGGACTGAGACTTTATTACCAACAAATCCGATATCCTGTGCAGTGCATGGTATGCTGGTTCTTGAGACCGTCTGCCAGGCACCGCATTTTCCAAGACGCTGATGTCACAGGGCACAGCGACGATCCAGGACAGTCGGGTTGGTGAATTGAGTGTAGAGTGTAAGCCCTCAACCCCTAAACCTTAAACCCTAAAACCCTAATCCCTAAAACCCTAAACCCTAAAACCCTAAACCCCTAAACCCTATAACCCTAAAGCTTCACCCCTAAACCCTATACCCCTAAACCTTAACCCCTAAACCCTAAACCCTAAGCTGGATAAGTAACGCCGGTCTCTGGGTTCCAGTCTTGAGCTCTTTAGACTCGCAGATCTCTGTGTCAGGAAGACTTGGTCGCTGGCCAGTATCTGCAGGCCACGGTGTGTGGGTGCATGTGTGTGTGTGTAGGGTTTAGGGTTTAGGGATTAAGGTTTAGGGTCATAGGGTTTAGGGGTTTAGGGTTCTAGGGTTTTGGGTGTAGCTGGCGTTCTTCGATGTTCGGTGTGGCTCATATCCTCAACCCTCAACCTTAAACCCTAAAGCTCATAGCAGACTTCGGACTACCACTTCATGTACATACCCTTTACTCGCCGAAGCCCTGAATCAAAATATAAAGCCAGTTTAAGAGTATTGAGTTTTTGGAACATGAAGCTTATCACCCCAGGCCGAACCGTAAACCGGCCTTAAGAAGTTCAATGAACTTAGTAGCTGAGTGGATACACTTTACACTTTTTGGACAATATTACCCACTTTAAAACTGAAAGTGTGCACTTTTGGGGGGCTTATGAGCTCAGCAACTAAGTAACCAAGGCCCCAAGCCCTAAATTCCTGACCAATACCGCTGCTTTACGGAGCTCAACAAACCAGAACCCTAAGCGGGGAGCCCCGGTACCCCAGAGACTCCAAGATCCCTTAGTTAAGGAATATACCTGAAATCAAAATAGGGATCCTACCATAATTTAAGGTATACTCCTGAATGACGGGGTATTGGAGTCTTTGGGTACTTGGAGGGCCATGGGACTTAGTAAGTAGGGTTTGAGGACCTTAATTGGGGCTATAAGTACATATAAGTGTGGTTACCCTACAACTAACCCCATTTACTGAGTCTCATGATCCTTTAAGTATGTGACTGCCCCCGCTTCGAGGTGAACCTGAGAGCGCCGGGTGTCCTGGCCGAGGATGGTTCGCTCACGGCAGGGCTTCCCGGAGTCCGGCTTGACAGGGTATAAGGTTTAGGGTATAGGCTATAGGGTTTGGGTATAGGGTTTAGGGTATAGGCTATAGGGTTTAGGTTTAGGGTTTAGGGTATAGGCTATAGGGTTTAGGTTCAGGGTATAGGGTTTGGGGTTTAGAGTTTAGGGTATAGTGCTCGTTATGGTTGCCGAGGGCCTAGAAGGTTTCATCCCGTTGCACTTTTAACATTGACTATTCTAAACGTATGTGTCTACTGTATCTATCTATCTCGTTCTACATGGGCGGTTGTCAAAATTCTGGTCCCTTGTTGGGTCCCTAATATAGTACGGCACCTAGTGTTTAGGGTACCCAAGAAGGCACCATAGATTTGACAACCACCCACATATATTTGGGATTTCACGCTTTAGCGTTCTAGGCACGCTCTAGGGGCTAATTTAGATTTGCGGATTGCCGAGTTCAGGCTTTAGGCTTGTAGGTTGCTCCACGAGCAGCTTCTACGGTAGTCTATACTATAGCTGTAGCCGAAAAGACCTACCTTTTTAAGGAATCATATATAGAAACCATAATAAGGAACCCTGAAAAGGTAGGCCCTTACGGCTACAGGTAGGTCTTGTGTTTTGTCGTGTGGAGCTAGCACAGGGGTTCAGTGAGTGTAGTGTTGAGGGAGTCTGGATTCCTGCTTTCGGCTTTAGGGTTTCGGGTTTGTGACGGGATTCGAGTCTAGCCTTTATGCATTAGACCCCAGAGCCAAAGGCCCTGGTGTCACTAAAGCGTACAGTAAGAGAATCTGAAAGGCTCATCACACTCAAAGGGCCCGGTGGTGCTACAGAACCGGGCCGCCTCAAGCTGCGAAATGAGCATAAATGTGTTCTTGTGCATTTCTTCGGGCCATTCCAAGCTTCGGAGGCTTCAGAAGATTTGGAGAGACATTTGCAGATTCTGAAGACGGCATCTGGGCTTTTTGTTGTCGCGTCAGCGAACCTCCGACTCCATGGATCCAGCAGCCGACTCCTTCCGATGTACTCAGCTCAGGTTACTTTTCGGATCCTTTTGTTGGACACAACCCTGGGTAGTATCAGGGAGACCCCCTAAACGGGACCCTTCTTGACCCTACTTCTAGCTCTCTTAAAGAGGGGCCTTATTGAGAGGGTCTAGAAAATGCAGAAAAGGACTGTAGGTGACGGCCTGCATACACATCAGTGTCAAGTCACAGGCCATGCGACGACTCATATGGGTAGTTCCCTATATTAGGGTCCCTCTTTTCGTCCCCAATTTTTTTCGGCACCCTTATAGGGATCCCAGTGTATTTAGAGAGCTACCCATATCCAAGACGCTAAACTCTGATTCGCCCTGGGATTGTAAGCCCTCGAAGACCCAAACCACAGACATGCTAAACCAGCCGCAAGGCTCCAAGCACACCTTCTGTGCGGGCCTAATCTTCATCATACCGTAGTACACACCGAGGGGTTGTGGGAAAGCCCTCGAACCCCAAACGGTGAACCCGTGCACGGAAGCCGAATAATTCGACCCCGAAATTGTAAACCTGGCAAGCTCTTCGACAGATCCAGCGCAAATCTTACAGAGGTGCAGTGCGCACTGGACCAGGTGGTCAGTATGCCGAGACAGCTGTGTCCCACCCAGACATCGGCTTCGGTGGTCTTCCCCGTTCTCGGATAACCTCAACTTGTTGTACACAGTTTTGGTTCTTGTCATTATAGGGTAGTATTTCCTTCGGACTTGGGAGAGCAAGTGTTGTGGTTCAACCGTCGCATTGTTCCGATTGTTTAACACTGTGGTAAAGGTCTGCGGCTGGGGCAAATGCGTTTGGAGTGCAGAGCGAACTTCCTAGTCACATATGTCTATCATCTCTCTCTCTCTCTCTCTCTCTCTCTCTCTCTCTCTTCTCTCTCTCTCTCTCTCTCTCTCTCTATATATATATATATGATATATGTATGCATGGTTCCGTAAATACTTACTTATTTACTTACTTGCGTACATGCGTGCATGCATTGCATACATTGCATGCTTATGCCTACATGTGTAAATACGTACGATATATATATATATATATATTTATATATGTATGTATCACTACATATATACATTCCTTCGTGTATACATATATTCAAACGTATAGATGTGCTGTATTGTTCACATATGTATGTATATGCATATGTAAGAAGTGGTCTGTGCACGTACGTCGTCCGTATGGTCGTCGCATCTGATCGTCATTATCATGACCGCCATCATCAGCTTCAGAACACCATGAAACAGTCCGAACCTGCACCGCTCGCCAAGGGAGGAGATGATTCCACGCCTTGACGAGCGAGTCAACTGGCCAAAGCGAATCTGAGAGACCGCGCCGCAAGCTTTGGCTGCATCTCTCCCAAAGCGAGAAATCTAGGGGATGTTCAGAACTTGTAATATATCGTGATATGATATGATACGGTATATATGTATATGTATATATATATATATATATTACTATGTATACATATTTATATATATATGTATATATATATATATATATATATATATTACATATTATGTAATGCATAGTATGTGTCACATACTATATAGTATTAGTATTGTGATGGTTATCATTGTTATTAGTAGTAGCATAAAGTATATATTATATATTATTGACTTATTCGGTTCCAGCTTTATCGCTCGTCCGCTAGTCCAGTCCGCAGCTGAGGGAGGGAGATGTGCGTCTCTCTTGCCAGAGTTTTGCAAAGCAAGCGAGCCAAAATTGGAGACTCCAAGCTCTTCAGGGTTTACTTGGAGGCTCATGGGACTTAGTAAGTAAGGTTATAAGTACCTTAATTGGGGTTATAAGTACAGTTACCCTAATTATAACCTTAGTTACTAAGTCCCATGATCCTTTAAGTAGGGTTTTGGGGTTTAGGGTTTCCGACACTTTGCAGAGGACACCTCCTTTTTGGGTTGAGGGTTTAGTGTTTAGGAAAGTCTAAATAGGGTTTACGGTTTTCAGGTTTAGGGTACCCTACATTAGAAGCTGCCCCCACCCTGTAATAGTGACTATAAGGATTATATTAGCGCCCTCTTATATTCCTATTATACCACTATTACAGGCTGGGGGCCCCTTCTAAACCCTACACCATAAACCCTTGCCGTCTTCTGTTGGATTCTATTTGTAGGCTGCTTGGGGCCACTTCCGCTCTCTCGAGTCCCGGGAAAGTCCGTCAAGAACTCTAAAGCCTAATCCTGGAACCGCAACCGCTATCTCAGCACTTGGTTAGGGTTATTGTGTTTAGGATTTAGGATGACGAAATCTCCGAACTGCTGCTGACTAAGCTGCTCCTTTTCCTTGAAGGTGCCCCTGCGTTCTACATGGCATTGTAAACCCTATAGTAAACCCCAAAATGTTGGAAACCGGATTAAGGACAAATAGTGCTGGGAGTCCCTCTACATTACTCTTAAGGATTGAGGCTATGGGGTTTCCAACTTTTGGGCTTCTACTGTAGGCCCCTCCATCCTAAGCCCTGAGCCTCTGTCTTTTTCTACCGTAGACCCTAAAACCCCACAAAGCCTAGGACCCAGAGTAGGCCCTTATTCCCTTTTTTGAGGCTTAGGTTCCCTTATAAACCCCTTGAAACCAAAAAGGGCACCCTTTTTATTCCTAGGTTGCTCTTAGGTCTAGAAGCAGATGTCGCTAAATCCTACTTAAACCGAACATACCACAAACTCTAATTGAATAGTCAATTACCCTCAACGCTAAATGGCCCTTACAGTAAACGTGCCTACCCTAAGGCTCCTGGACCCTCGTAGTGAGATCCCGGTCCCTAGCCCCCAAAGCCGAAACCCTCCCACAGAAAGCCCAAGACCCGCTTTGGAGCCTTAGGGTAAAACCTACATGCAACAGTAGTCGAGCACAGGGAACCTTAAGACTCTTTGGGAGTATTATAGGGTTTAGGGTTTAGGGTTTAGGGTTTAGGGTTTAGGGTTATTATAAGCCCACTATATTCCCAATTGTCACTCTGATCCCAATTATCAGCCTTAGTTCCACTAGTCGTAGAGTCGGGAACCTTTACCGTTTTTGCAGGGGTCATTAAAAAGCCCACTATAATCCCAAAGGTTAGCCTTCAGTTCCCCTAGTGTGGTGGACATCCCAAAACTAGGATGCCCAGTAGTACCCTTATTCCCTTCTTGTAGTCCTAGGTTCCTTATAAAGGTACCCACTACCGCAAAAAGGGGAGCCCTTTTGTATTCCCAGGTTACTGGGCATCCTAGTTTGGGTTTAGGGGGCTTTGGGGAATGGGAGTTTCAGAAACCCGGGGCATCTTAATTTCGGGCCCTTCTTTATTGCTCGGTTACTGGGCATCCTAGAAAAATGCCCGAAAGCCTGGCGCAGGATCTTCGACTTCGCCTCGGCGGAATGCCTGCGATGCTTTGAAGGCCCCAGGGCTCCGGGCCATCTCCTTGAGATAAAAAGCAGACCCTAAGGGTCGATGTACCCAAAATAGTATATGCTTTGGCCTTAACGTACTCTCTGTACAGGTACATTGGGCCCAAAGTATGTATGTATATATATATATATATAAATTTATATATATATATATAAATATATATATATATATATATATATATACATATATATATAATATATATATATATATATATATATATATATAAATATATTTGGGCACATGGATCCTTAGGCATAGGAACCTGATTAAGAAACCTTGGATCTTTATTAGGGCTCGTTCTGTGGATCCTAATATTTTGGTGTCATAGAACCATCCCAGGGTTTCTCAAACAGGTTCCTCCATTAGCGTGTTGGGTATTTTAAGCCCATGTCGGGTTGAGGTTTCAGGGTGTACTTCTGGGTTTAATTCCGAAGCTTCATTAAGAAGAAGAGGTTGTCGAGTCGACAGATGTATTATGCCTATCTACATTTTCCGGCTCGTTCAGGCTATATACCCCTATATAACCGCTAGATAAGGCTCTAAAGTCTGACCTGCAAAGCTTTTTGCACAAAGAGGAGAAGTTTTCAGTCTGGAGCATCGGGCGCACCCTAACGCTGTGAGCCCCAAAGGCAGGAACAATAAGCGACTTTGGTTCGACCGGCTTTCACCCTCCCAACTTCCTATCGAGTCGAGATATTACTATTATTACTATGATGACTCTTATTACTATTACTATTAATAGTATCACTAGTATTACTAGTAGACAAGGGCTTTCAGTCTTGGATTTAGGGTTTAGGGGTGTAGGGTTTAGAGTCTTGGACCAGCCACGACTCCGGGTCCTTCGTGTTTGCAGATTGTGTAAGAGCTCGAAGTTGTGTCGATGTAGAACCTCAGGGACTTCCAGCCATCCCCAAAGCCGACGAATAGTATAGTAGTATAGTTAGTAACAGTCATAAAGTTAGTGCTACTTGTAGTCATAATGATAATGACAATAATAATAGCCGCGACAGCGGTAGTAATTGCTGTAAACGCTTCAACAATAGTAACAAGCTCCCCTGAGCAAGGACATGGCGACCATGTTTACACCGCTTGCTTCTCGCCCTCTTGCAAGCAGGCGCCCTTGACGACATTGGGGGCATGTCGGGCACGGTGTTGGGGAATCTGCACCCTATAGATATAGCTAATGTCAATGAAACTGGCAGATGATGTCCTAAGCCCGAAATCCCTAGGCCCTAAATGCTAAACCGAATTTTCGTTGCTGCAGGTGCACACACGAATCTGTTCATTGTTTGTTTTCTCTCTCTCTCTCTCTCTCTGTCTCTGTTGCTCTCTCCCCGTCTTTCTCTCTCTCTCTCTCTCTCTCTGTCTCTTGGTCTCTCCCCGTCTTTCTCTCTGTCTCTCTCTCTCTCTCTCTATCTCTCTCTCCCTCTCTCTTTTTCTCTTTCCGCTCCTCCTTGAGGGATGTCGGCGCTTCGAGAAATTCGGCTGGCGATTTTGTGCACTGCAGAGGAGTTATTGAGTTTCACTCTTTTCTAGGAATAACAGGTAGCAAGTAGAAGTAGACTACTAAACTTCCCAAACCCGAGCCTAATCACCAAAACCCCTCCGTTAACGAATCAGCTTGTTTCTAACAACTGTGTAGCAATACTTCAATGTAAGCGATATAGTCCTACACAGGTCTACTATAGCGTGCCTGAAGGCCCCACACAAATCATTGGAGGCCACAAGCAGGGTGCAGTGCTGGGCATAGCACGCAGGTCCTCACGGCCTCCGAAGACGCCACAGCGAAGATCTTCGACATATAGTTTGCCTTGACCCTGAATAAGCTACCTTTTTAGGGTTGCTTCTTATGGTTTCCTTATATAGGTCCTTAAAAAGGTAGGTTATTCCGGGTTAAGGTAGGGTTTGAGGTCCTGCCACCAAGCTCAGATGCATGTTTCGTCTCACCACTCCCGCCTCTGCGGCAACCGCTGTAGGCGTAATTGATACCCAGGCAGCCACGAAGCAACGCAGGGAAAACGCCCAGCCCAGGCAATTTCACGAGCCCCTGCGCCATGTGAACGACATAGGGCTTTTAGTTGTTTTGTGTTCTTGGTGGCAGGTATTCTATATTTTGTGTCTCGTTATCTGAGTCGTCGCGCGCCCTAAACAGTTTGCGAGAGGTTTACTGCGACTGGGTGTATCACAAAGGTTCCGAAGCCCTAAATAGTTTCGACAGTCATCCTGATCTCTGAACCCCATTAGGGAGTTTGGGGACCCTCATGTAACTCCTTAATATAAGAACCCCAAAATAAGGCACCCCCAATTTTCAGAAACCCCATTACTTGATGAAACATCGTCAAGCTAGCAACGACCTTTGCACTCCTGACCATGCAGAGAATATTCAAGCTTTACAGGGTTTATGGCGGCATATATATATATACACACATACAGGGTTCAGGGTTTTGGGTTTTGGGTGTTGTGTTGTTTTCAGAGCAAGCACTATTTCACAGCCTTTTTTCGCGAGAGCGGGCACGATAGCGGCCAGAGCACCAATAGCTCAAACAACAAACAGCTCCTTTAAAAGCAACTACCTTTCCAGGACAGGGACTACTTTAAGGAGCAAAGTAGGGTTAGAGCAGCAGCACCAAATTCACAGTAAGATGACATCAGTAAGAACAAGATCGGGGGAAGTCTCGCACAACTGCCAACAGCGACGGCTGCCAACGATGTCAGCTGCAAGAGCCAGAGTGGAGCTGCGACAGCGGCACCAACATCTACCCAACCCTTAGCTGCCAGTGTCATTGACAGAACGAGAATGTCGACGACAGCAACACGAATGACAGGCTCAGGAACAGCCAAGCCATGGCAAGTATTGATAATATTTGATACTCATGTGTTTCGCAGGTCACATCCTGTTTTGTACATGACCACTCCAATCCTC